TTGAAGCTTTTGCGCTATGCCCCGTAGAAAATATTGTGGAACAAAACGCTTACTCATGGACTCTTTGAACTCGTTCCATGAATCAATTGGTGTTTCAAGATTACTTCTCCTACTTGACATCAATTTATCCCACCAAATTTGAGCATATTGTTTGAATTCAGCAATGCATAACAATACCTTCTTTTCATCACTAAAATTATGACAGTTGAACACTGACTCCACAATTTTTAATTTGATGCTCTCCACGTTACAATTAATTCTATCGTCGTAAGGAACTCGTTGTTGTAAATTATGATGCCTTCTTCCACGGCCTCTCCCTCGCATCAAGCTACGACCAACCGCATGTGGATTATTCTCGCGTTGATCAGAATTGTCTCCCTCATATTGATCAGCATATTGTGCAGGTAGTGGAATCCTCTCTCGAGCTTGATTTTGAATCTCCAATCTTCCTATTCGATCGGTCAACTTTTCTATTCCTCGCATTAGTTTTTCCATGGTTCGTTGTTGTGCTTCTCTCAATCGTGCATCAGTAATGTTAGGATTGTCGTTTAGATTTTTCATGCTACAAAAGAAAGGTATAAGAGAGAGAGAAAGAAAAAAGGACCTCACAAGCGCTCCCTCACGTGTGTTCACTCGTATTTAGCACTCAACACTCAGAATCAATGTATCACTCCTTACAACTCACCCTCACAATTGAGCACATACAAATCACACTCCAAAATAAATTGGGATGTGAGGCAAGCTATGTTATAGAGCTAAGTGCAATTCAAAGTGGATAGGCAACACTTAATATACAAACAAGGGTATTAAAAGAGCAATCCAAATAAGGAGAAAAAAAAACCATTAAAGAAAGAAAATGAACATTCTACACAAATGGATATATATATAAAGAGAATTAAAAGAGATAAACACAAGAAAACATATAACCGATCTTGAGCTTAAAGCTCTGATACCAAATTATATGGAATCAGCCTAAGGGAAAGTTTGAAATGGATTACCTTGATGATCAAGATCAAGAGCAAAGAAAACTCGTTTTTAAACACGTGATTTGAATCACTTCACAAGAAGTTTGATCAATACCACTTGCATGACTCTGGCATGCAAGTTTTAAATACAAAAATGCAAAGTAAATACTTGAATGACTCTGGCATGCAAGTCCTAAATACAAGAATTTGCAAAATAAAAGCTTAGTTTTCAACGAAACTAAAATAGAAATTCTATTATTTTTAATTTCAAAATGTGATGTCTTTAATTAAAGAAAAGAAGACTTTATATAGCCTTTCCAACCTTAACGTATGTGACACATAACCTCCCTATTAAATTGAATAGTTAATAAAAAATACGCATAACCTTCGTATTAACATGACTAAGTTAATGAAGAATATGGTAACCTATGTGGGTTACAATATAGCCTAACTCCTATATTAAAAAACTAGCTTAAATATGACAAACAAATATTTAAGTTGTAATAAAATAATGCCATAAATGAAATGTGTTTGTTGATATCCTTGGACTAGTTTCATAAATTCAACTGAGTTTATTAAAGGCAAATTAAAGTACATTTAATGCATCTCTTTCTTGAAGCTCAACGTTGCACAACATATAAAGGATGTCTCCAATGTCTTCTAGAATTTCCTTTGACGAGCCCATCATAGCTTGAATATAAGTGTACAAAGTTTGTTGTAGCTTCTTGGCTCTCGTCCTTGTAATTGAATCTTGAGGTATGAAAATTCCTTGATCGTGGTTCATATCATGAGTTTGGCATTGAAAATTTAAGGTACGATTTTGGGTTTTGAGAAACTTCGATTCCTAATAAAGATCCTAAATTCTTGGACTATGACTGATCAGCTTGATGAGACCACAAAATTGTAGAAGGGAGTAGACACCATTGGGACTTGCCGTACAAGAACCCGACGAAGGGAAGAAAGAACTACAACCACAAACAAGAGGTTGTTCAAGTTTAGGATGATTAGTCCAATTCAATTCGGTTGGACCAACAGGTCTAGTCTAATCAAACTAGTCCTCCTATTTTTGCATGGTTTGGGTGTACCAATTTTTTTTTTTATTTTTTAAATCTAATTTTGATGGTACTTACATTTTCCCTTAATTTAAGGCCTAATTGAGAAGATGAAAGAAATTTGAAGTATTTGAAAGTTGGATTCTACAATCAAAGTATTTTCCAAACTTAGCAAGTAGCACATCCAAACTTTAGATTAATATAGATGCATGTTGTTAAAATTCTTAAGACGGGAATGAGCTTATTTGACAAAAAAATAAACCGAAAGTTAACCGGACATCCATAATTTAGATTATTATATTATATCTCTTATGATGATATGTTCATACATAAGATATTTATGTTATTATATGAAGATGGTTAGGTGTTCGCTAACTAACCTCTAATCATAAACCCAATTTGATTGACAAGTGTCTTAATAACATTTAAAACTAGTTTACATTTTATGTGCCTGCTATGCGGGTTTGTGGGTTTGTAAGTTAATTAACTTTTTTTCCCTCTAATCATCCTCACGACCTTAACTTATTTTCATACGTTCATATTTATTTATCAATATGTCAATTAGACCTATTTTTGTCATATTTTATATTAGTTTCATAATATTTGAAATATTTAAAATTAATCTATTTATTTTCAATGAATAAATCTTTAGTCATAGTCTTAGTCTATTATTAATGAATTAACGAATTAAAAGTATCATTAGCCTTCTATAATGTTGGGCAATATATTCTCATTTTTATTATCATTAATTTTTATGGATACTATTATTATTTTAATTAAAAATCGAATATTCTGATTTGACTTTTGGACAATCCAATGTAAGCACGCTGTACAGCGAACTCTGTTGTGAGACGACAGGCACAGTTAATGGAGGGCAGATCCGTAAATACCTGTCGAAACCCAGTCCCATTATTGAACACAATAAAACCAATAAATAAATAAATATATACATAAAATAAAACGATTTCCACCCCTAAATTTGTTTAATTGAATATGATAAAATAATTGAATTAGTTATTATAAATATAATTATCATCAAACAATGCTCAAATCACCCACGCCAACATGGCACTCTACATGCACTTCCCCTCTCTTTCTGCCACGTGTCAAGCCTTTCTCTCCCTCACCGTACACTTCAACTAGTTGGCCGCCATTGTATATGTACAGCCTCTGGCGAAGGATTCGACAACACTTGTAGCAACGTCTTTGCGAATGACAGACTAATAGTGGAGCGACACGTCATGAACAGAAAGTACTTTTCGTGTTCAGCTGCGTAACTGTAAATCGGCAGGCCATTGGGAAGTGCTTTTACTTTTCTTGAACAGAGAAGTTCAAATGGAGTTGCGGTGGCGACACGTAGCAAGCCGCCCCCCGGAGCTGGATGCTATCGTTTTCTGGTTATTTCGCTGTAGCTTCCGCCGTCGTACGGCGGCGGCAACTTCCAAGGTTTGTTGGAAATGCACAGTGAACAATCCCATGCAAAAAAGAAAAATTAATTTTAGCGTAATAATTAAGGAATTGATGAGCAAAATTAATTTTAGATATTAAATTATTAAAAGTTTAATATATTAAGTTTATATTAGAAACTCGTTTTTTTTTTTTTAAATAAATAGAAAAAAAAAGGGATTAATAATCATGTCTTGAACATAATTATTTCACATTTCTTATTAACTTTTAAAAAGTTCAAATAAATTTGTATAAATAAAAAGAAATCCATTATTTTCCTATTTTAGAATATGGTACCATCAAGCTCCATATTTAAAATAGGCTAATATTTGTTTGTAATTGACCAGATTAACCTTACCCCACCCACCATATTTTTTTCAACTCTTGGTTATTTTGGTCAAAACAAAGGTTCCCCTCAAAAGCAAATACATTCATTTCACCTCCTTCACACACTAAATAACAATTCTAGTAAAGTTTTCCTCTTTCTTTCCTTTCCTTTCTTAATTCATTCTCAACTATATATTTCATCGTCTCGTCACAATATCATTCACTTCATATATTTGACTATAGAACTTAGGTAACTACATGATTTTCCTTTCATTAATTAATTGTACCATCTAAATAACCGTCATTTTCAAGCTTTTTATTACGTGTCTATATAATCTTTGATTTTGTCTAAATAGAGCATTAAAAAGCATATTTAAAGGTGTTATTTCATCTTCCCGAACACTTCTATTATCAAGCTCTTTTGTTTTAAATAAACAAAAGGAGCATGTATATATTGAGTTTAGTTTCAACTTGATGCACTTCTAATTTTACCTCTATCGTCTTTAATCGAACTTTATGAATCATATCAACGTTCACGAATTATTTTAATAAAATGTCATATATAGAATTTTTAATAAAACAAAAGAAAATTTAAAATTTGAGTGTTTTAATAAACACGAGGTTGTTATTATTGATGAAAATGGAGAAATAATTTAAAAATGGAAGTATAAATATGTAGGAGTTTATTAATCCAATAAAAAATTGACACGTGGAGATCCGTTTTAAGGTTGGTGACGACGATCTGATCGATCTGGTGACCGGGTTTGAGCTGATACAAGAATCTGAGAACCAAATGCCATGCTTTAAAGATTACACATCCACTCCCACGCGGTGAAGGAGGGAAAGGAAGCGCGTGGTGAATAAAAAGAATCCACGTGGAGATGAAGATAAAAATATCATGATATTAGCGAATAATATGGAGAGGTGCAGGAGAGACGCATAGAGCGCGCGTGGGGAAAAGCATCTTGAAAAGGAAAAGGAAAAGGGGGAAAAAACCAGGCTGTTTTATATGAAACTAGAAACAAGAAGAAGAGTCCTAAGGGTGAGTTGTTGATAATATTTGTGGGTGAAGATTGGAAATTTCAAGTTTTGTTTAAATCCGTAGAAGAAGAAGAAGAAGAAGAAGAAGAAGAAGAAACCCAAAATCCCAAATCCCCAAAATCATTTCCAAAATTAAAAAAAAAAAAAAGAAAAAGAAAAAAAAAAAAAGGACCCAAATCGATTAGTTTGATTTGGAAAGAGTTGTGTTATTAGGGTTTTTGTTGTTTTTGATCCCAGAAACAGAGTCTTTGTTTTCACCAAATTAGCCACACTTGGAGGAGGGTACCAACAGAGGAAACAAGGAAGAAGAAAGGAAATGGGAAGAGGAAGAGTGGAGCTGAAGAGGATAGAGAACAAGATAAACAGGCAAGTCACATTTGCAAAGAGAAGAAATGGGCTTTTGAAGAAGGCTTATGAGCTGTCTGTTCTTTGTGATGCGGAGGTTGCTCTTATCATCTTCTCCAATCGTGGCAAGCTCTATGAGTTCTGCAGCACTTCCAAGTAAGTTTCTGATGAATCCTTCTTTCTAGGCTTTCCGTTTCAGCTTTTTAATTTGATTACAATGCTTTTCTTGGACCCAGCATGCTCAAAACCCTTGAGAGGTACCAGAAATGCAGCTATGGAGCTGTGGAGGTCACCAAACCTGCCAAAGAACTCGAGGTCATTTCTCAATTCCTTCATTCATTACTGTTTTAGATCTCGAGTTTTTGTATTAAACAATTTTTGGATTAGTTTTTGCAGAGTAGCTATAGAGAATACTTGAAGCTCAAGGCTAGGTTTGAGTCTCTTCAAACAACTCAGCGGTAACTATTACATGGGTTGTCTTCCCTTTTTCTTGGGGATGTTTATATCAATTATGCCCTAATTAAACTTTAAAACGATATTTATTCACAATTAACATCTCAAAACTTCAATTATTTGGTAACTCGTTAATTTGGTAACAAGTATTTGAGAGCCTTTTGTTGTTCTTGCTAGCTTTTTAAAAGGGAATTCACCAAATAAAGGAAAAATACATGTAATTATAACCAATGGTCATCAGAGTGTGCTTACCATATTTGGGTATGGATTTAATTTTTTTTTGAAAGTTGTATTTTGAAATTGAGAGGGGCCTCACATGTGTGAAGGATAGGTGGTTCTTCGAGTTTTCTTGATAAACAAATGTAGTTGAATGTGTACGGTTGAATAAATTTTGTTAAAAAAATGTTTTAAAAGAGAGGATGAAATTTAGGGTTTTCATTACAAAGCTAATTGAAGGAAGATTTTGTAATAATTTAGTTATAATAAACATGAACATGAACATGCTGACATCTCTCTTACATGGATAGAATTTAGGGTTGAAAAGTGTTATTTGTGTTATGGTAGAAATCTTCTTGGTGAGGACTTGGGTCCATTGAACTCAAAAGAGCTTGAGCAGCTGGAGCGTCAGCTGGAGTCTTCTTTGAAGCAAGTTAGGTCCACTAAGGTATGTTTTAATCTATTCAAACCCAAACTCTACTACTTTCTTTTCTAATCATTTTCGTTTTGTTTCATGATTATTGTGTAAGCTTAGTTCTTTATTTTGTTATCTAATTTTCAAGTTCTTCTCAAATTTTATAACAAAAGTTTTTGAAATCTTTATTTTGTTTTCTTGTTTTACTAAGAATTCATATATCGGCCTATATGAAAAATATATAGCAAACGACTATATATATGGTAAAAAATTGGTTATATCCGGTAAAGTTATATATAGTAAATTGAACTATATATACGTCTCATTATGGGATTTTCTACTTACTTGAAGTCATTAATACAAAACCTTTAGCCAATATTCTTCTTTGCATTTTCTCTCTCCTATTATTTAGGTTCATCTAGATGAGTGTATGCGTTGTTGTGAGATCATAAGATTTTAGTGCTTTAAAATATTTTTGAGATTTAGGCTTAGTTTTTTTTCTTCAAAATTAATTTTATTTATGAAATTTGGTTGGAGCCTGTGTATTAGCATGACCTTGAAGATTTGACGCTATCTGCAGTCGGAGCCAATCCCCTATAATATTTGCATCATGTTGAAAAACATATTATAAAAGTAAAGAGATAACTAATTAACTAAAAACAAAACGATAATGAAAGAAGTCTAAGACATTAATTTTTAATTTTTGATTTCTCTGTTGAAGTATGATCTCGAGTGATGAGGTAATAAGAAAGAAGAGAAAGCATTAGGCCTTTTATAGGTTGTGTACTCTCTGAATAAAGCATTATATCACTACATTCATGCAATTTGATCGTTCAAGGATCCACTGATATCCTTTGTTTCCAGGTTTTAAGAAATGGGTTTGTTTTACATTCGAAAATATTATCAAAATCTTCGCCCAAATATTGTAATTGAAGAAAACGTGCAATTTTGTTATGCATGTCTTGTCTGTGACAGAAACTATGTGGCTGTGCTGTGTTTGTGTCCATTCTTCAAAGACAATTATTGAAGCTTCAGTTTTGTACTATGGATATTGTTAACCAGAAGCTGCAGTTGCTCTGCTTCTTAATTAATACCCATTCACTTCCACCTTTCTCTCTGCCTTTTAACCAAAAGTTCTAAAGCTACAAATTTCAACACACTCTTCTTATTATAACTTCTGGGAAATCTGTTTCAGTGAGTTATGGAATTGATATGGATAACATTATTCAAACTTTCTATACTAAAACTTAGGCATGACTTCTTGAACTTGGGATTATTCAAATCCATTTGGACATTCTAGTTTAATACAAATTTAGAATGCTTGTGTTCGAGTGAGTCTCGTGTTTCTAAGATTTTTTTGTGAATTCTCTTGTATTGAGCTTATTTGAACTATTAGTTATACGGCTAGTTAATTTGATTTTATCGAGACTTCTTTATTCAATAACATCTGTGATTGTCTCATCATATATAATTGTCTGTACATTGAATTTAAAAGAGGCATGTTTCTAGTAACCATCTACGCTAATTGACTCTCAGATATCTGATGATGCAAAATTGATGCAAAATTGTTCATCATATTGTGATAGTCTTCTCGAATATATACATATATATATTTTAATGTTGGGTTTAAAAACCCTAGATTGATGTAGTGTTGGTAGAGTTAAAAGAAACCCTGAATGTAGAATAAGGTGGTCCATTTTATATGTTCAAAGTGCTTAGTTTTGTTAGTGAATTTGGAAGTGGGAAATTTGCAGACTCAGTACATGCTGGACCAGCTATCTGATCTACAGAACAAGGTTAGGGTTGAGTATTGATTGTTGACAATTGATATCAAGTTTAGAGAAATGGTTCTAATTTGAATTGTGGTTGATAGGAACAAATGCTGATTGAAACCAACAGAGCTCTGCAGATCAAGGTAATCACCATTTCATTCTTCACACACACATAATCACATAATCACATAATCACATAATCAAAGTAAAATCGTTTGTATTGTTTGGTTCATGGAATTTGGTGGATCAGTTGGAAGAAATAAGTTCAAGAAATAACATAAGGCTAACATGGGAAGCTGGAGACCAAAGCATGTCATATGCTCCACAAGATGCCCAAACTCAAGGCTTCTTTCAGGCACTGGATTGCAATCCCACTTTGCAAATTGGGTCAGATTTTGTTTTTATTTATTTAATTTTTTAAATTTTGAAGCAAATGAAATTTGATGATGATGATTATTTATTTTATTCTATTTATAATCAGGTACACTTCTGCAGTGTCGGACCAAATTACAGCCACCACTGCCCCAACTCATGCCCAACAAGTCAATGGCTTCCTCCCTGGTTGGATGCTTTGAAATCCATAACTACCTCTTTTTTTTTTTTTCCTTTCCTTTTTGCAATATGCTACCAACACTTTGCAAAATTGTTAATAAGCATTATATTTTACTTTTATTTTAGAACTTCAAAACAAAATTCTATAATTTGCAAGACTTGTATATCCAGAATCTATCATATTTACATGGATCTTTTCCCGACTTTGAGACGCTATGAATTTTGAGTTTTTTTTTTTTTTTTTTGTTGGTTCTGTGCCGTGTGCTTTGTATATTTAGATGATAGGTGAATGTTTTGAAAAGGGTATCAAAAATAGAATTGTGGAGCGTTCATATGACATGGTAACCTGATTAATTTGAACTATATATCTAATCCAAGCAACTTGAGTTAGATTTTCTTTTTAATTCTATAACTCAATCTAATGGAACTTAAAAATAGATAGAGTTGGGTTAAGTTCGAAAATTTTAGTGAGGTTGTTTGAGTCACCCCTCACGAACCCAAAATTTTAGGTGGATAAAAAAGATTTTTACAGATATACTTTTGGTTTGTTTATTAAAGTTGATTTTGTAAAATTTGAATTTACTATACATATTTGGTGGCTCTTATATGTTGTTGGCGCAAGTAACATTATTATGTAGAACCTAGAATGGGACATCTTAGGAGTACATGTGTAGCCCAATTTAGTCGTGGGCCCTTCAATATTTTTATACTTTCTTCTACTTTTGGGACTATTATTTCTTTAGCCCTAGTATCATTTTATTTTCTTTTAGTAAATTTAGGCTATAATCTTTGACTTTTCATTTCATCCCATTTTTTACTTTCTATATAGCTTTAGTTTGAGGATTTTTTTTTTGGTTAAAAATATGTTAATATTTATTCTTTGTCTAGTGAAACTCTCAAAAAGTAGAGTTACAACGGTTGATAATTGTCACGAAGATTGGGTTCACGAATACTTGGATTTATGAATACTTTGATACATTCCCCACTTTAATTCATGAATCTACGGATTCGTTTGGTTCATCTCCCATATTGGTATATTCTGTCATATGGTTGATTCATGTACAAACATTATTTTTGCTTTGATTCATGTACAAACATTATTTTTGCTTTGATTCATGTATAAGAATTAGTATTGTTATGCCTATATAAAGGTTTGCCTAGCATTGTTTTGAGATGTGAAGTTATTGTCATTTTGTATTTATCTAGAGGTAATTGGGAGAAACTTTGTAAGAGAGACTTTGTAGGGTGGGGGTGTGAGAGATACACTTGTAACCACTTTGGTTATAGTGATTGGCTACCACAATGGATGTAGGAGAATTTCTTCCTTCCGAACCACGTAAATCTCTATGTCCTCTTTGTTTAATTTCTGTTCGTCGGTGTGTGATTGTGATTGATCTTGCTTCCTCTCCCTCTAAAACAATTGGTATCAGAACATTTTGGTTGTAGCATTAGTGTACAAAATTGGTATCAGAGCCAAGTTGTGGCATTTGGGGTATTGTGAAATACTTAACCTCGATGACCATGAGATGTGCTCACACTCATCATCAATGGTCAAAGAGAAGTTTCTCATTGGCTTGCTTATTTGTTTTTGGAAATCATATTTTTCAGGAATTGTGATTATCTCCATCCATTCGGATTTTGTTGGCATTGGTTGCTCAATTTAATCTTGAGTTTGCACAACTCGATGTAAAAATTGCTTTATTGCATGGAGATTTTGAAGATGAAATTTATATGACACAACCGGTTGGTTTTCAAGTACTTGGACAACAACATTTGGTATGTAGATCGAAAAAAATCTTTGTATGGGCTGAAGCAATCTCCTCGTCAATGGTATAAGAAGCTTCATCATTTCATGGTGGAGCATAAGTACACTCATAGTCAATTTGATCATTATGTGTATTTTCAGTGCCTTGATGATGGCTTGTTATCAACTTGGTCTTGTATGTTGATGACATGTCAATTGCTTCCAAGGGACAAGTGGAGATTGATAAGCGTCGATCCACTATTGGTTATCCGTTCACTATGGTTGGTGGACCTGTTTGTTGGCGTTTAGTATTGAAGTTTACTTTTTCATTGTTTACCACGGAAGCATAATATATGACAATCACTTAAGCTTTTAAAGAAGCTATTTGGATGACTTGGGTATTTCTCACGAACACATAAAAGTGTTTTGTGATAGCCAGAGTGCTATTTGTTTGTTGAAGAACCAAGTTCATCATGCTCGCACCAAGCATATTGACGTCCGTTTTCATTTTGTTCGAGAAATTATCAATGAAGGGGACATTCGCTTATTGAAAATTGGAATTGCAGATAATCTTGCGAATATGTTGACAAAGGTTGTTGCTCTTGAAAAGTTCCAATATTGCTTAATTCTAATCAACATTAGATGGAAGAAGTAGCCAATTGACTTGGTGACAACCAAACAAGTTATCTTCTTGGAGATTTTCTGACAAGATGAAGATTGTTTGTGATGTCCCACATTGGTTGGGGAGGAGAACAAACCACCATTTATAAGGGTGTGGAAACCTTCCCCTAGCAGACACGTTTTAAAGCCTTGAGGGGAAGCCCGAAAGGGAAAGCCCAAAGAGGACAATATCTGCTAGTGGTGGATCTGGGTTGTTACAAATGGTATCAGAGCTAGACACCGGACAATGTGACAGCCTTCTCGTTGTTCCCTAAAGGGGGGTAGACATGAGGCGGTGTGCCAGTAAGGACGCTGGGCCCCAAAGGGGGGTGGATTTGGGGGTGATCTCACATCGATTGGAGGAAGGAAAGAGTGCCAGCGAGGACGCTGGGCCCCGAAGGGGGGTGGATTGTGATGTCCCACATTGGTTGGGGAGGAGAACAAACCACCATTTATAAGGGTGTGGAAACCTTCCCCTAGCAGACACGTTTTAAAGCCTTGAGGGGAAGCCCGAAAGGGAAAGCCCAAAGAGGACAATATCTGCTAGTGGTGGATCTGGGTTGTTACAAATGGTATCAGAGCTAGACACCGGACAATGTGACAGCCTTCTCGTTGTTCCCTAAAGGGGGGTAGACATGAGGCGGTGTGCCAGTAAGGACGCTGGGCCCCAAAGGGGGGTGGATTTGGGGGTGATCTCACATCGATTGGAGGAAGGAAAGAGTGCCAGCGAGGACGCTGGGCCCCGAAGGGGGGTGGATTGTGATGTCCCACATTGGTTGGGGAGGAGAACAAACCACCATTTATAAGGGTGTGGAAACCTTCCCCTAGCAGATGCGTTTTAAAGCCTTGAGGGGAAGCCTAAGAGGGAAAGCCCAAAGAGGACAGTATCTGCTAGCGGTGGATCTATGTCGTTATATTGTTGATAATTGTCATGAAGATTGGGTTCATGAATACTTGGATTTATGAATACTTTTTGTACATTCTCCACTTTGATTCATGAATCTATTGGATTCATTTGGTTCATCTCCCATATTGGTACCTTCTCTCATATTGGTGCATGAATCATCTTGATTCATGTATAAACATTAGTTTTGCTTTGATTTATGTATGACTCATATTGGTGCATGAATCATCTTGATTCATGTATAAACATTAGTTTTGCTTTGATTTATGTATGAGAATTAGTAGTGCATGAATCATCTTGATTCATGTATAAACATTAGTTTTGCTTTGATTTATGTATGAGAATTAGTAGTAGTCATGAAGATTGGGTTCATGAATACTTGGATTTATGAATACTTTTTGTACATTCCCCACTTTGATTCATGAATCTATTGGATTCATTTGGTTCATCTCCCATATTGGTACCTTCTCTCATATTGGTGCATGAATCATCTTGATTCATGTATAAACATTAGTTTTGCTTTGATTTATGTATGAGAATTAGTAGTAGTCATGAAGATTGGGTTCATGAATACTTGGATTTATGAATACTTTTTGTACATTCCCCACTTTGATTCATGAATCTATTGGATTCATTTGGTTCATCTCCCATATTGGTACCTTCTCTCATATTGGTGCATGAATCATCTTGATTCATGTATAAACATTAGTTTTGCTTTGATTTATGTATGAGAATTAGTATTACTATGTCTATATAAAGGTTTGTCTAGCATTTTTTGAGATGTGGAGTCATTGCAATTTTGTATTTGTCTAGAGGCAACTAGGAGAAACTTTATAAGAGAGAATTTGTAGTGTGAGATTGTGAGAGATACATTTGTAAACACTTTGGTTATAGTAATTGGCTATCTCCCGTTTCTGTTCGTGGGTTTGTGAGTGCGATCGATCTTGCTTCCGCTTCCGCTACAACAATCAGTATCATAACATTTTGGTTGTGGTATTAGGGTACAACAATTTCAAACCTTTTAATCAATAATTTTACACAACATACTCGCTGCTTTTCCATTAATTGTCTAATTAGCAAGCATGAAATAGTGTATTGGGGTTCAACATAAAAAGACGATCAATTGGCATAAATTTAACCTAATTGTATACTTGATCAATTTTATTTAGCAGAAGTAACAGTCTTCTATGCTAAACCATGATACTATAACAAATCTAGAAGTAATCTTGTTGGCAATGACATGTCTGGATCAAATTGTTGAACCATTATGTTGAAGCAATCTTGTAAGCAAATTTGTCGAGAATGACATGAAGAATTTTAATCTGAATGAGCTAGCAGAGCTAGCCACATGGATTGTTACAACCCAATAGGACGCTACTAAGGTGGATGACGAAGAATTTTCCAACCCTAAGTAGGAGGAAATAAATAATATAAACAAAAGGTTTCAAAGAAAAAAAAGGGGAGGAAAGAGAGGCAAACGAACAACAAACAACAGACATTCAAGACCAAAGAAGAGAGGAATAAAGTGGCCAACTCCGTGGAAGCCAAGAATTCTCAATAACTATCTTATTCTCTTTTCCTTTGATCTGTTATATGCTCTATGATTAAGATAGATCATAGAAAACCTGCCGTATAAACAAATGAATATGTGGAGCTAAATGTATGGCTGAGGTAGTCATAGTTGAACTCACTAAATATGTAATTTTTGTTTATTAAAGAGCTACGGTATTTTATTCTTTCTAGTTAGGAATAATTCTTTTAATGTTTTATTAACATAATTATTTTATTCTTCTTCTAATGTTTTATTAACATAATTTTTAAAATAATTAGGGGAGTAATCAATATGCAAAACTATGGGAAGGGTGCTTGAGAATCGATTAAAAAGAGCAAAACACACCAAAACAATTAGCGA